AGACACACTCTAGAGGCAAGTATGCACACACTGTAGAGCTCTTTTCCATGTGTGGCTCAGCAGGGGCCAGTCCATCCTCTGGAGATGTTAGCAATCTTTGTCACTGGCATTTAGTGGGTGAGGCCAGGATGAGTACACACAACCTGACAACAGCCTCTAACAGAGCACCTGCCTTGATACGGCTAGTGTAGACTATGCACTGGTGGCCCGTGGGGCTTCAGGGGTCCCACCTCTCACCTCACATGTGGATGGAGTGGGAACCAGAGGAAAGGGTACCTTCAGGAAGAAGTAGTTTCTGAGGCCCCAAAGGCAGGCAACCTGGAGAAACCAACCACTAACAGGTCCCAAGCTTTTCCATTTGAGGTGGCACCTGAGCACACTGGGCAAGGAAGGGCCTTAGACCTGAGAAGGGCCAATCAAGGTAAGGCTGAAGCCAACCTATGGATGGAGGCTTTGGCCCTTCCACAGAGGGTGTCAGATAAATAACCATGTGGCTCTTTCCAAACCACTCCCATAGTCTCTTCAAATTTATTCAAAAAGGATGCCCGATCCAGAGACACAAACAGAAAGCCCCTGGTATCTTTGACGTTTACTTTCATGTTTACACATAATTGTTGTTCTGTTACTAGATAAATAATGTTTGTAAATTTTAGTTTTAATGTATAGAGAAACATTATTTACCAGCCAGTACAATGTGATCCCTAACAAGGCTCAGTCTCATTCTCCCTTGCTCCGGGATGCCAATGGGTATAGTGGCAAGAGAATGCAAAGGGACAGAATAGTCAGAAAGGGAAATGGTGTCAAAATGAGATCTCAAGTCTGAGGGAAGATTGCTCAGGCTTCTTTCCGAGCACTGGCTGTTACATAAGAGTTGCTGGAGAGACTTTCCTACAAAACTAAGCTGAGCCGGGCATAGGAAGTACACACAAAGAACCAGACTCACATCGCTTTTAATGTGCCGGAACAAACCATTTATAAAAATCTTCAACACATTTTAAAACATCAACTTTGTACAAAGTACACAGATCTTAAAAAACACAACAAGACAACACAGCAACACCATCCAATGGCCTGACCTTGCAAAATCAATGTCCAGATTCCAGTATAATTTCTTTAAGATTTTAAGTGTTCATAAAAATGTGCCTAGTCATGGTCCTCTATATCCGAATGCTAATTAGTTCTCTCTGTCCATCTCCACAATGTTTTCCAACTTCAAGAGGCCCATGGAACAGCTGTGGCCTGTCAGTTAAAGATACCACACAAAATAAACCTGTATCTAGCACTGGAAAGAAATGCTTACTTTCAGGACACATGGGAATAAGCAACAAGTCCAACTTTAACATCCTATTCGACAGAGAAAAAAAGAAAGGAGAAATGTACTAGCATGACAGTGACGAGGTTTCCAGAACAAGGCAAGAACTGTCCAGCACTTTAACGGGATTTGTCACTATCCTAACCTTTAACAGTATTTTTATGTATAACATACATATATAAAACTATACTACCTTTAACAGTGTTTATATACCTATCATATGTATATATAAAACTATACCACCTTTAACAGTGATTATATACCTATAATATATATAAATATTATATAAATCAAAGACCAGACCACCTTTAACAGTATTTGTCACTATACTAACAGATCTATCCTGCTATACATCTTACAGGGCAAAATTTCTTAGAAAAAGTAGGGCCTAATCTGTCCCACATAGTGAAAAATGGTCCCCAAAATCTTTAGCTCACTAAATTGTCTTAGAGATGAGGCAACACGTTGCACAAGGGGAGCGAGGGCATCAATCGTGGCGAGCAAGAACCAGCATTTTTGTTCTCTAACTTCCAGCTCTGCAATGTGTCTCATGCTGTCTCTCATTCTAGTACTTTCCTTCCTCATGAGAAAGCCTACGTCTAGCCCAAAGTATCCTGGTATAAACTGCTTCATGCCTTGTGTCCTGTGAGACTGGGGACCGCCAGCCAAGTGTCTGTAAGGACTCTCCACATACTTGACATGGCTAACTTCTTGAATCTCTGCTGGGATTATTCTCTAAGTCTCTGGCAGCTCATCCATGGCTAGGCACCTGCCCTGTCCGCCTCTTCAGGCTGTGAGGGCTGAGTGTGTCAACTGTCCAGACTCAGAGCCATCTTTGTGGGGCAATGCGAGCAACTGCTGCTTGTGAAGGGGATATGAAGTTAGAAGGGCTCCACGAGCATCCCGGGAATACCAAACCTATTTCAACTGTTCAGGTTAAAATAGTCCAATTCAGAGCAATAGGAGAAGAAAAGTGTGTGCAGTAATGACTTAATTCACTCGCTGAGTCAATCATATTCTGTAAGTGGGTGGGACTAGAAAAGAATAGGGCTGGAGGCTGAGGGGAGGAAAACAGTGATCCGAAAGTAGAAGTCAACTCAGAGTTCACAGGAACTAAAGCACCTTGATTTGTATTCCTGCAAAATAATGTATGCAGGGATCTGCCAAGTGTCATGCTTAGTATGCCACGTTGCCTCGGGTCTCCTTCTGAGGAAGGAGTGGAGTGCCCAACATTTCAGTGCTTTTTCAGTGGTCATTTCAAGCTCTGTGGCTCCAGTTCTTAGACAGCTGCACTAGAAAAGACACAAAAAGACAACTGGGGCATCACACTGGACATGGCAGGCCACACTCAAGAGTCCTACTCAGCTGCCAGTAAACTCCGCAATGCACTTCACAGATACTTTCTTACACAGCACTGGCATGGGCGTTTCTGAACTGGGATGGGTTTTTCAGGTCAAAACTCAACATTATCTGCCCTATCCTTACAGCAAGGTTCATTTCAGAGAAATGAAACACACATACTGATATTTCTCTGCGATCCCCAAGAGGAACGGGATACAGGTATGTTTGAGCAAGGAAGGTTTGGAGAACAGTAAGAAGTTTTAGCAGCTCTAACTAACTATAAGGCAACAAAGAAAGCACACAGCGTACACCCCTGAAGAGCAGCTACATTTCACTGTGACTGCTCTGGAAGGCAGTCAAACACAAGCGCTGCCACAGGAAAACATCACGGTCTGCTGTACAGAAAGGGCAGGCAAAGACTGGCACAGACACTCCTAACTACTGGTATTTCAGGAACCTTTTGGATTTCTGCTTTCAGCTCTAGGGAGGGAAACAGATTTGCTGGGATGAACCACCTGCTGCAGAGGAGGGAGGCTTAGAACACACCACGTGAGAGGGGAAGACAACCTGCAACGAAAATAACCCCTGCAGACATCGGCAGTTAACTGCGCTTCCCAGGCAGAGCCCAACTCTAAATTCTAATGCGGTTTGCAGGAAGGAGAGGCCTAACACTCACAAATTAAAAATGTCTGTGGTCAGATTTCGAAGATCCAGTTCTGGAGAATGAAGACTAATGAGGAGCTTTTAAAAACCAAGCCAACAGAGCTCTGGGATCCTTGGCCTTGGGCATTCTAGTTCCAAGACAATGAGATACAAGAGAAGGCAAAAGAAAGTGGCTGCTCTGCAAATGCCCCCAAGATACAACTCTACTAAGGAACACAGATTCTCCCAAATGACCCAAGGGGCATTCCAGCTATAGGGGAAATAAGCAAAAGTCAGGAAGCAAGGAAAGTCAGAACTCACCAATGAGGATAGGGGACTGGAGAGAAAAGAAACAGAAGACTGTAAAAAGTACCCAAATTAGAGATGCCAAATAAATGCCAGTACTATGTGGTTGAAAAGGCCTCAAGGGAACAGATATCAGCAGGGGAAGCCTGCCCAGGACACCAGCTAGAGAGACTGCATCAAGAAAAGCAAGGACCACGGAAGAGTCACCCAGAAAGCCACCGGATAACCAGGAAAGGCAGGAGGGGCTAAAAGGAATATGAAATTGAGGTAGGGGCTCAATTTAAGACAAGTTCACATGGGAAGGCTTGCTAAGTTAGAGGCAGCAAATTTATTTTTAAAATGTCAGCTTTATGGCGTGCACTTTAATAAAAGTGGGAAAAAATAAGTAACATATGAAAACAATTCAGAAAGTCTCAGACAGGCACACATTTTATGAGACTTTGGTTTTCATTACCCTGTGTGTTAGACCCTAAATAAAAGCTGCTCAGGAAAAGCAATGAGTATGTGACACCAGTTACCTCTGACTCTGCTGTGTCTTGTCCTTCTTTTGAACCTTTTCCACTTTTCACCGGTTTTGGTGGTTCCTGGGAAACGTTACCAAAAAAAAAAAAAAAATCAATTAGTGGTCTCAATATGTGAACCGCTAAGCATCGGCTCAAATGCCGTTTACAAACTGATTCATAGCACTGAGAGCTTCTGGTGGCTTTAATATGCCAGCAGCAAAACTACATCATATGGAATACAGACACAGTATCAGAAGCCTTCAGATTCCGTTTCTCTTCATGGTCTTCGGCTAGGTTGGGGGGGGGGGGGTGAAAACTCCAGGCAGGGTCAGATAAACTCAATCATAGGCAGGGATCTCGGCCCATCCCTTTCTTCCCTCCCACCCTTAAACCTCACGAGTGAGGGTTTCT